TTAGAATGATTTCTGAAGGATCATGTGACACTGAAGACTGTAGTAGTGGCTGGTGAAAATTCAGCATTTTTGAGCAAACAAAAACATTTAAAAATCGTTTATAAATTAACTGTATGGCTTTTTAATTGTATGAATTTGTATGACTTAGTATTTTAAAAAGATATTTTATATTATATTGCAACACAAAAACCCTGAAATGTGTCAAACATGCACATACTCCAAAGCAATCATTTACCTATTGTATAAAACGAATAACAATAGTTGATATACAAGCAGAATAAGTAAATATACATTTATTAATAGTGGCAGCACAGTCATGGCCAGACCATTCATGCTTCCACTCTATTGGATCCTCTGTCCAACAGTGGCATTACACAAGAACATAAAGTAGGCGTACAGTATTGGCCTTTATCAAGAGCAAGGACCATTTCAGGTGAGTGGAACCTGATCAGTGACCCGGTACTGATTACAGTGCGTCATTCTCTCGTGCCACGTAAACTATACTGGCACTGGTGTCTTAAGAACATTAGGACTGGCCAAACTGCCACTCTACAGCTGTCACTGTGTGAATGGTGAGATAACATAAACTCATGCACCATATGGCTTAGAGCACGAAAACTGCACTTACCGTAAATAAACGCCTCACAAACAACCACACGTGCATGAGACACATCTGACTCATGTGCATTGATATTCTTGGAAGATGCTTCCTTAAGTGAATGACTAAGCTAATCAGGTTTACAATGTCAACTACTATACCATACATTTTCATGCTTTTTGAAAGAAATCTCTAAAGCTCAGCAAGGCTGCATTCATTTGATCAAAAAGACAGTAAACATGATTATTGTGAAATAATATTACGATTTAAATGAGTTGTCTTCTATTTTATTATTTTTTTTAGATGTAATTTATTCCTGTCAAAGCAAAGCTAACTTTTCAGCAGCCATTACTCTTAATAAAAGCGCTTGATAAAACCATTATGCATTTATTTTTCACGTTCTTTTGATCAATTGAAAGTGCAAAAGAACAGAATTTATAACTTTTATAACATTATAAATGTCTTTACCATCACTTTCCTTGTTGAATAAAAGTATTAATTTCATTCAGAAAGGTTTTACTGACCGCAAACTTTTGAACAGAAGTGTATCTCTCTCTCCCTGTGTTTGTCTTTGCGATACGCATAACATAATATATAAATGTAAAACAGTGCATTAACATTTTGTCCATTCCCTTGGACAAATGCAATGAGGCCTGTCCTTTTCACCTTGTCTCCACCTTTCTGTCATTCGTTTCCTCACCCAGTCTTTTCTCTTCCTCTGTTTGCAAAGAACGTCTGTATGTTTGCATTGTGCGCCATTATAATTGACCTCTTTTAAAAGTCAGATCTCCTCTGCTGCATTTCAATTGAGAGGCTTCAAAGAGAAAGCTGGGGTTTGTGTTTGAACGGGTCATCAAACGATGTGGGTGTGTTTTCACGAGCCCTGACTAACTCGAACATTGGCTCTGAATCCCGAGGCCCTTCAGAACGAGTGGTGCTCTTGAGACAACCAGATTCAGGCTCATGGTTACATTTGGAGCCATCAAAGTCTTCCATGGGCTTCTTAAATGACCTCCATCAGGAACATTTTCCAAAATGTAGATGTAAAAATAGAAACTAAATTAGGCGTGATGTCTTCCATCATGACGCACTCACCCTTTGCTTTTAAACCACACTAGCCGCGTCTTTCATGTGGATCCATTATGATATTTCTATTTAGAGGTGCTGTTATGACACTCTATGTCACTGTAACCGAAATAAATGGCCTTTGTAGTTAATGTTAGCTAATAGCTAGCTGTGATTACCAGTAAAGTGTGTTGTCAGGTAGCGAGTAAAAGGTTAGAATAGTTTTGATATAGGCTACACATGCATGCAGTGCATATAAAAACTATAACAAGATGTAACCAAGTGTACTCCGATTCATGTTTTTCTTTCCCTATTTTTCAGATGGTGGTGTTGATGGACCCCATGGAGGATCCAGATGATATTCTTCGAGCTCATCGATCCAGAGAGAAGACTTATATGTTTGATGTGGCCTTCGATTATTCAGCCACGCAGGCAAGCCCATTCTGTGTTTGTGCCTGTGAAGCACATGTATATACAAAAGTTAACATGCTTTTCAAAGAGATCACATTTATGCAGTTATTTGTGTTCATGTAAGTGCATTTGTGTTTACTATGTGGTTGAATGAAAGATGAAAATACACACAAAGGCTGCAATTAAACGTGTTTGTGTGTGCTTTTCTTAGGACGAGGTGTACAGATCCACCACTAAAGGCTTGATTGAAGGTCTCATATCTGGGTACAATGCCACTGTTTTTGCCTACGGACCCACAGGTCAGTACACACATCATTCATACCAAGGGCTGGGCAATATATTGATATTTTCATTATATATTTTTTAACCATGGTAATTTCACTAAAGCAATAAAACTTGTTCAAATCCCAAGTCAAGAATTAAGATTTGGGATACAGCCCCTGATTTTTTTATTTTATTTATGATTTTGCAATTGTGTTATATCTTGATCATTTTATTATAGCATTTTAATAGTGCCTTTGATTTAAACTTAAATGACAAAAATGTCTTAGTGCTTGTAAATTGGTTAGATTCTTTTCCATTAATTGGTTCAAACATCTTTGTGTACTCAACACAAATATGTTCAGGGAAGCTCACCAGACAGACAGACAGATAGATAGATAGATAGACAGATAGATAGACAGACAGACAGATAGATAGATAGATAGATAGATAGATAGACAGAGAGACAGATAGATAGATAGATAGATAGATACATAATGCACACAATGCTTTAAAGATCAAAATACAAGTTAAATATTTCATATATTAACCTAGCTCACTAAATTCCAGCTGTCAAGAACACATTAGTAATCTGGTATTTAATCTAAAAAATAAATACCTTAATTAAAGACCTGTTTTTATGCTGCTTTGAATTGATTAAAAGTTCATTCCTGGAAAGCAGATGTCTGTGTGGCTCCCGTGTGCTTGCATGCTCTAATCTATCCTCAGAGTGACTTTTACTGACTGTTCCTGTCTGTGGCCCTGGCTATATAAAGCTTAGATCTGTGCTCAGCCTGACAGGGATAAAAGCCACCTGTAAACATTATGTATCACTCACTATGACTCACCTCACACCTGTGCCTTCCGTTTATGCCATGCTGATGAACATATGCTAATTATCTACAATTATTTCACATTTATGAAAAGAGGTAGTGATAAGCCTATTCTGTATCACAGGCAGCATGAACGATCCAACAAATAAAATGTAAATAATAAATAAAAATATGTTTTATGTTTAAGGACTTTTTTATTTTATTAAAATCTATTTATTTATTTTATTTTGATGTTGTATGATGTCAGGCAATAAACTGAGGTTAAATTGTGGTCCTAATAAGCAGATGTGTGTATGTCTACAGGTTGTGGGAAGACTTACACTATGCTGGGAACAGACAGAGAACCTGGTATCTACGTTCGCACATTAAATGACCTATTCAAAGCCATCGAAGAAACCAGTGATGACATGCAGTACAGTGTCTCAATGTCCTACTTGGAGGTGAGAGCTTCATTTGGTTGCTAAATAGGATTTTAGCAGCCACTTGTTGTTTTTTTTCCCTCACATATTGTATCACTTAGAGATTTGATGTAGAACTTTTAAAGATAGTCACCCTATTGCCACGCTAAATAAATACACATAGTAAAGTCAATTGTCCTCATTTAGTTTTAAACAATTTAAAAAAAAGGTTAACCGCTTAAGTGTTATGTGATAAGATAATCATCAGGCCCGTGCCGAGCGGCCGATAGCACGTCTGTTTATCTGCTCTGTTTGCATGAGGGAGGGGTAATCTTGTCGGCTTAGCGACTATCTCAGCATCTTTGATTACGGTGATGTTGTATTGATACTAGAAAGCTTGTTTCCCCTCTGAGTTGTGATTGACTTGTCCAAAGTTTACTCAAAACAAATACATGCTTCCCTGATCGCCTACTGTGTTAGCCTAGAAACAGATCGCTATGCGTTTATGTGACTGGCCAAGTAACACAGCTTTGTGTCTTAAATGAAAAATGGCTGCTGACTTGCAAAAAAGGCCTAATATTACCCATTAAATTATATTATATTATATTGTTATTTTATATAATATTATATAAAAAAATTACAAAATAAAACTAAAATGAAAACATAAAATCTAAAAATAAAAACGAATTTAAAAATAGTAATAAAATCTATAGTAGTATATCTATGATACTAAAACTGTGTTTTAAGGTGATGTTTTTTTCTTCTTCCCTCAAATAAGTTTACTCTTAAGTCTATATGACATTCTGTTCTCTAAATATGGCTTGGGTACCTCTTTCAGTGTAACTCTTTGGGATTTTTTTCACATTTTGTCTCCAGGGCTCCAGTTTAGCCTTCAAACTCAATAGCTCTGTCCTGTTTTTGACAGCTGATGCGTGTGCATTTGAGATCACATGTGTGAGCTGACAGCAGCACCACTTCAGTTCTCTCAGTGTCTTTTTTCTCTTTCTCTCTCTCTCTCTCTCTCTCTCTCTCTCACACGTTCTTTTCTCGACATGTCTCATTGCCCATTTTGTCAATCATAGTCTGTTCAGCAGTATTTCTATAGAGACCGATGTTTGACAATGTGCTATTTCTCCTTTAAAATGGTGAAAGTGCTGCAGTATCTTACAGTGTTCTATAAACCAGTATGTACTTGAACCATATATTTAAATTATATAAGCATATATTAATAATTGTTAATAATTCTAAATAAACATTTTTATTATTATTATAATCTTATCAGAAATATATTTTTAAAAAATACCTGTGTGCACTCACTAACACACACACATAGTATGCTTAAACATCTTAATGTACACACTTAAACACACAGATTTGTTTGACTTCTTTAGGTTAAAGGGGTGTTTGGGATGTGCAGACCTATGAGTAAGCCACTCCGTCCACACACGGAAAGAGCAACCTTCAGTAAAGAGCACAATGCTCTCCTGTCCTCTGCTTTTCTTACACCTCCACATTAAAACTCCTGTTTACATTGGGCCGTCCAAATGCTCAAGGGAACGCTTCCTTGGAGAGAAAGCGTTTTTATTCTCAGCTTCTGTGGTTTAGGTCCAGAACTCCCGGTTTATCCTGTCTCTTTTTTCTCTTTCCATCCATCTATATCTTTAGCAGGTATTTTACTCTTTTCTCTGTCAATGGATTCTTTTCATACTGTCAGCGTCACCCTAAAATGATCACATGCTTATGGCACATCACAGTGACCTCACTGACAGTGATGAAATATTAAGTTTGGGACGACTTAAATTGAGAGTTTTGCGGTGACCACAGGTGGTGCTCAGGATGTGGCCTTGTTCTAAACCGGGTTGAATGAAGCTTATTGAAATACTCTAAAATATTTAAATCTGACATTCATCTCTTCACTAGCATCCTGAAAATACATATATTCTGGATTTTGATTGGTTGAAATGGGTTGGTTACGATATGTAATGAATGTATTATTGCTGCAATCAATAGTTTTTAAAATCAATCATTTTGGGCATGAAAATTTCAAAAGTGTTGTGAGGTGAATACTTCAGACAGAATGCAATGCGTCACTGCCACAGTGTGCACTAAATGTTCAATAATTCAGTGGTCTGTTGTCAATAGTTCCTTTCATATTTCACAAATTACAGCATTGTCCATGTGCTCAGTTGGTAGAGCATGCTACTAGTAATGGAAAGGTCACAGATTGCGCGTTCTGATATTTATGCACTGCAAGTCACCTCAGATAAAACCGTCTTGTCTGTCAGATGCATGAATGTAAATGTCAAATGCATAAACAATGATTGTAATCTTGAAATCTGAGCATGGTCTTTAATCTGTTTAATTCTTGTGTTTCAGATCTATAATGAGATGATAAGAGACCTGCTGAATCCATCATCAGGGTTTCTGGACCTGAGAGAGGACTCGAAGGGAGAAATACAGGTCGCAGGAATCACAGAAGTCTCCACCATTAATGCACGAGAGGTCAGTTAGACACATTATTCAGGCACCATGTTACTTAAAATAATGTTTTGTGTGTGTGTGTGTGTGTGTGTGTGTGTGAGTGAGTTATTAAAGTAAATAAATACTGTTACAGTAGTCATTGTTCATGTTCATTCTATGATACTTAAAAACAATAGAGGTGTATATTTAAATAAGTATTTAATAGTGAAACCCTTATTCAGCAAGGATGCATTTAATTGATCAAAAAGTGACAGTAAGGCCATTTTTAATGTCACAAAAGATTTCTATTTCAAAATAAATGCTGTACTTCGAACTTTTTATTGATTAAAAAAAATAGAAAAAAATGTATCACAGTTTCCACAAAAATATTAAGCAGCACAATTGTTCAACATTGATAAAAAATGTTTAAGCACCAAATCAGTATATTAGTATTATATATAAAATATTATTATTTTATATTGTGTATATATATATATAT